TCATTGACAATGTTGAAAATTTTCCAGGCATTTACAGTAGTACTGTCGATAGCATTTGAAAATAAAGGCCACCGCCACTTTTTGCCTAAGATCCTGGTACGGTAATTTGCTATGGCATTGTCATGTAAATCCACTCCCCCCATAAATTTATTGTACTCAGAAATTACTGCAGGTTGGCTTATATTTTCCATTTTTTCTCCTTTTGTTGTGTTTAGAGGTTGCACATTGTAACAATTGCTTATCAGTGTTACAACATATTTATCATTCCATCGAACAAGTGAAATGCCTGTAGATTTATCGTAGGCACTGCTGAATGAGCCACGTTGCTTCTTGGAAATTACTTTGATTGCCATAAGAGGAGGAGCTAAGGTTCTATTTTCACGTATTGTACCAGTGGCTGACCAGTTAGTACAGAAATTAGTTTGTATGATGAAAAGAAATTATCGAAAAATACCCTGTGTGCATTTTTGTCTATAACTGAAGATAACAAATTGAGAACAACTTGGCCTCCTAAACCAAGTGGACTTTTTTCTGTAGAAGCACCAGCATATGGAATAAATTGGTAGAGATATCCACCGGAGGAGCAAAGACACCATAGTTTGAAGCCGAACCTGACAGGTTTTCCTTTCAAATACATCTTGCATGAATGCCTTCCAAAATAAGGCACCATTTGTTCATAGACAAATCGGTTGAAAACACACCAAACTGCATAAATTTTTTGTTCAGTTGGTCAATAAATGGTCGAAGTTTCGTAAATTTATCGTTCTTGTCTAGTTTGTAATTGTCACACAAATGAATGTTTCTCATTATATTTCTAAATTTATTTCGAGTCATACAGTCTCTGACAATTTTTAAACCCTTGTCTTCTTCTGTAGACCAATATAAATCAGCTTGCGGTAGAGTATGATATCCGGATAAAATCATAATTCCCAAAAACTTCAGCAAATCGTCTTTGTCAATCATTGCATGATTAAGTCATGCCTGTTATTGTCACGAGCGTATTTCTGTGTATATAGAATTATGTCTGTAATCATTTCGTCGTCGAAGAACATAAAAAATAAATCTAGTGGTGTTTTACCTTCTAACTCGTTCTTTAGTCTAATAATATTTTCTTTTTCTTTATTTTCAAAATCATTGCTTTGATCGTAAACATATTCTCCCTCATTCCAATCAGGCTTCCTATCCAGATATTCATTGACTGACAACAGCTTTCTACGCTTTTCTGCTAAAGGTTCATCATCTGAGTTATCGTAGGCAGCATCATCATCATCGGCCGTGTGAATTTCAAATGTCCCAGCAATATCTACATTTTCATTGGTTTTTTCACTATCTCCGTCAAAAATTTCTTCATCGGTAAGTTCGTCTACTTCTGGTGGTATATACACGTCATCTATATCTACATAAGCTAAAAAATAAAAATTAGTTTTTGGATTTATAAAGATCATTTTATTTTACCTTCACCATTTTCCAATTCATTTACTATTTCAAACAGAGCAAGCTCTAGTTCCCTTTGTGTAAGATATTTTGACATGTCTACACCTTTTTCACAGTATCACTTCCCAACTTCTTTATAACACAAATGTAACATAGCACAGTCAAAATATAACTGATAATAACCTAGACCAACAATCCTTCTATCAGAATGCTGACAGGTCTAGACACGTAAGAATTCCGAACTTCACTCCATTGGCCATTGATGCGTATACGAATCGTTCACGTTTGGCCGTCATTTTTCTGTGAATCATCGAAAATTTTCTAACTGAATATTGTTTGTTTGTTTTTCTAAAGAATTTTGAATAAAGTTATCAATAGATAAAAAAATTATAAACAGTTGATCATATAACAAAAAAAATAATAATAATACACCGTCAACTATCTGCAATTTTTCCAACTTTAAGATTTTGCATATCCTACATATTTAAGAATTTCCTTGTTATTTAATTTTTATTTCATTGTGTTAACTTTATAAAGCATTGTTTATTACATATATTTAACTTTTTTCAAGTAATTTTAGTAAAAAAAAAATATTTTGTGGGTGAACTTTTTTCTAAGAATATGTTGTGCCGCTTTTCGTACCTCGATCCGAATGAGTTTTTATGATATATCTTCGAACAAATTGTAATGTTGAAGAACACTTGTACGAATATTTCATGCTGAATACATAATACCATCCATAGCATTCGTTAATCGCATCATAAAATGATGTACCTTTATTGATTATCGCTTTTTCAATATTTTTGTAAGTCTTCATTTCCTGAAAACTGTATCTATTAAAATTAATTTGTGGATTTGGATGTTCATAAGATGTTAAAAAATGTTATTATATGTACAATTATCTAAAAAAATTTGGGAAGCGGTATTCGATTTTTTATAATAATACAGTTGGCAATTCATGATTTGTTGCGCCTCTTTTACAAGCAATATTTGGGAAAATAATTTTAGAGAATTTTTACTAAAAACTACGTAAGCATTAATCAATTTCAAATGGTTATATCTCAAATTTTATCGATCTATTACACAGAATAATTGTTTAAGTTATCTACTGTATTATATTTAATCACCCAGGATTTAGACATTTTTTAACATAAGGGAGATCCATTGCTTTTGGTAAATGTGCTGCATTTTGCCTTGCAACTTCACGATATGGCAGCAGAACAGTTCATCACCTTTTCAACTAAATAAGCGTCAAGATGTTTTACTTTTATTTTCAAGTTAAATAAATAGATGTTAGTAGGGTATTTTAACCGATTCTCAATCTCCCCCTCGTCTCACCCCTCACCCCCTCCGCGACCTTGAATGACCCCTGCGGTGACGCGTTGAAATTCATATTAGTTGACCTTGAATGACCTCTGCGAAGTTGGACATTACTTGAAGTTTGAGGATGTCCTATATGACATTGAAAGTCATATTCGTTGGAAACCTTCATTTGACCTCTGTAATTTCTATGGAAGTGGATTTGTATGAAGTGTACATATAATAGGTGAGGTGACATTGTGACGTAATGTAATCGAATGGTTAGTGGAAGGGATTTTCGATATAATAGAGGAGATCCAAGTAGAAAGTTCACATTTCGTTTAATATTTGGTTAAAGTTAGCATCTACAATAGTGTAAATTGTTGTGTTGTTTTGTGACCATATATTTTCAAGTGAGAACAGTAACTGTGTTTATTGCTAAGTAGATATTATAAAACGAATATTTTTAAAGAGAAAATGGCGTTATCAAGTGAAGATTTAAATAAAATTAATAGTAATATTAACGGTGATTTCGAAAAAGTAAATCTACGACAGTTTACCTCATTAGAAATAAATAAACCCTATTTAATTTTTACATTGTCTGTGATGAATTCAAGATTTGGAAAGTGTGTATTAGCCACATTAATTGATGATGATGATTCAAAGTTCAAATGTTTTTTGCCCAAGAGGACTGTGGAATATTTATCGGATGATACTATAAACAAATTTAACGTTAACCATTTAAAATATACTTTAAGTTATATAGGTCAAAGCAAACCAATTTCTAAAGATGGCAACTGCAAATCTTTATTAAAATTCGAACTTTTTGAATAATTATATTAGTTTTAAATATCTAGTATGTAGTAAATATATTTTTTATAATAATAACCAATGCAACAGTCATTATGGGTAATTAACCAATAACATATTTCATCACATTATATAAAGGAGTTTATTATTGCAGATATAACAAAATGTGGATGCAATACGCTAGTCAACAATGGGTCGAAGCCACAGATATCAACACGGCCATTGAAAGATTGGGGTGTGAATTAAGTTGTGTGAGTAGGGATCGACTACACGCCACTAATTATGATCTGGAGTATTGTTTTGATGAAGAAAAGGTTAAGATGCTTGAAGAAGAGTCTAAAATGTACAATAGTGGTTCGCAGTTGTGCACAAAATATTCCCAGGGTCTTTTAAATCTGGATCAATTTTGTGAACAGATGATAGAGATCGGTTTCCGGAGGTATGTTAGAGGGTATTTGTTGGAGTACATACCTCATACAATTAGTCAAAAATATCAATTAAATGAACCACTTGTTACTGAATCCGAAGATGATCAGGATACCGATGACGAAGAAATTTGCAGTTAAAGTTTACAGAAATAATTTTAATTTAACTTTATATTTTTACATATAATTTGTATATTATAGCATTTGTAGTGTAATATAATTATTAACTTTATATATGAATTGTATACTTTAATTTTCTTAATGTACTTTATAACTAATATAATAAATGTTTTTGTAATAAGCATACATTGTTAAGATATCATTCGTTTATTTATTGTTTACTACAAAGTGTTACTACAATAATAATAGATATTATATAATACAAAAGAATCTAATGCTAAATCTAAGACAAACATATAGAAAAATATATAATTGCGACATGTGTTGAATTTCTCGGCTTACATAAACCCTTTAGAAACGGTTCCATCTAGAGCATTGTATGCTAAGTATGTATCGTGAAGTATTAACGCAAACACTCGAGTATTTTCTGGAAAATTCTTTTTTCGTGTTTCAAACTCTAGCTTTATATCTACAGTAGATAATTTCATAGCGTCTTGTTGATGTGAACAATCGATGACAAAGAGTGGATTTTTTCGGAATTCTCCAATATCCATCATCGGTTCATAATTATCTTTATCATAGAAGCTATGCTGGAAATTTTCATAAGCATAGTAAGCTGTAGAATCTAGTTTCTTTTCATAATCTAAATTCCAGCGTTCATATGGATACACTTCTGAATTTAAATATAGTCGGAAATTACTTATACCAGCATGGATAAATTGAGTAGCATCCTTGCTTCTGTTATCAGAGTTATCAGTGCTTTGGAAACCGATAATAATATATCGAGGTCTCTCTAAACTGTTAGTTGTTTTTATAGCCCATATATCGGTGTTTGTTTTTCGTAGAGCAGGCAATTCAAATAGATCCCACATACGAAACGCCATCTTCACTGTAGCATGAAGACCGCCTTTGTTAATGCGATTTAACAGCTTCAACTTGTTTATCTTCGGGAACGATGTGTCTTATCTTCCACTCGATTTTGTTAATTTCAAGGTCGGCATCTACCTCTCCCAAATAACAGTTCTTGAAAGATCGAGCAATTATCAGTATAAGCTCTTGTTTGGCATTGAGGACCCCTCTAGTATAATCTTCGGCAAACCCCATGAGATATTTTAGAGGTAATTTCCCACTAAAAACATGACTGGTGGTATCCAAAAGATCCTGATCTTCTTGCGTTAGCCCCCATCCATAAGATAGCAGCGTTTTTAAATGTGTTGCCCCCCATGACACCATGGTTTTCATCGTAGTTGTTATACCCGGTTTTCGGATTACAGTTACTTGTTCTCCACCCATTTCGTAGCGAATCTCGTCAAAAAGAAATGCCAGCGCATTGTTAGATAGGTAACAGACTTTGTTGGCCTCGCTAGGTGTAAATTTACCTTCTATATATATGTAACTTTCGGCAATATCAAGAATAAGATCTTGGAAATGGATGGGAATTCGTATTTCATCCGAATTTCTGTAATATGGTGATCCATATGGTTTGTATGTGTGTTCATGCAGACTAACAAGCGAATTGTCGAATAGGGGTTCGTCAAATATATCCAACTTTCCACTAGCTGATGTCATCATTACAAATACTGAGGTTTTAGTTTCAATCCAATTGACTGAAAAAAGATGCTAGCAGACAACTTAGGTGTTGACCGTTTAACGTTCTTGCGTGAAATAACTGTTTTTTCGCGCTTGCTCAAAATTTTATCACTATTTGTATGTTGTAGAGATGATGATTGTTTTCTATGATTAAAACAAAATCCCATTATATTTCTTGGTATCTCAATATAGCTTCTTTAGTTCTAGTTTCACAATAATTTTCGCTCGTCTCACTTTCATCCGCTCAGTCAACCTTTTTAATACACTTGCATTCTTCTGTCGCACTTTATTGTCTCTTTTCACTTCCCATTGTCCTATTTTGTCAAGCTTCACCCGCACTTTGTCTTGCAACACCCGCATTTTGTCTTGCTACACCCGCAGTTTTTCCCTCTCGCCGGCGATGCGATCGTCGAGGTCCTTTATTTCACGATCGGTTGCATCCTCCCTCCGATTGTGTTTGTCCCAGTATCGGAGAAAAATCTTACCATGTCGGACTCACCGGGTTGGGAACACTGAAACCAATCGTTTTCATCCTCTGTGTGGGCTGCTGCGGCGAGGGCCGGTGCTGCAACGGGTGCCTGTGCTTCCACGAGAGCCCGTGCTTCCACGAGGATCGGTGCTTCCACGAGGACCAGTGCTTCCACAGGGGCAGATGCCTCCACGAGGGCCGGTGCTTCCACGAGGGCCGGTGCTTCCACGAGGGCCGGTGCTTCCACGGGGGCCGGTGTTGCAATGAGGACCGCTGCCTGGGGGACCGCTTGGGGTGTCGCTGTGGATGTCGTCTGACCCGCAAATGGTTGCTGCAGCAACTGATATAGCTCGGACGCCTTCCCTTTGTCCGCTCTTTTCTTACCCGTCCGACTCGAAGGGCGACTAACTTTCTTCCTCGCCATCTTGACGGAGGCTGGTGGCGGCTTGGATTGGAAGACGTCTTCCTCGTCGTCGTCGCTNTCATATTCGTTGGAAACCTTCATTTGACATCTGTAATTTCTATGGAAGTGGATTTGTATGAAGTGTACATATAATAGGTAAGGTGACATTGTGACGTAATGTAATCGAATGGTTAGTGGAAGGGATTTTCGATATAATAGAGGAGATCCAAGTAGAAAGTTCACATTTCGTTTAATATTTGGTTAAAGTTAGCATCTACAATAGTGTAAATTGTTGTGTTGTTTTGTGACCATATATTTTCAAGTGAGAACAGTAACTGTGTTTATTGCTAAGTAGATATTATAAAACAAATATGTTTAAAGAGAAAATGGCGTTATCAAGTGAAGATTTAAATAAAATTAATAATAATATTAACGATGATTTCGAAAAAGTAAATCTACGACAGTTTACCTCATTAGAAATAAATAAACCCTATTTAATTTTTACATTGTCTGTGATGAATTCAAGATTTGGAAAGTGTGTATTAGCCACATTAATTGATAATGATGATTCAAAGTTCAAATCCTATTTGCCCAAGAGGACTGTGGAATATTTATCGGATGATACTATAAACAAATTTAACGTTAACCATTTAAAATATACTTTGAGTTATATAGGTCAAAGCAAACCAATTTCTAAAGATGGCAACTGTAAATCTTTATTAAAATCGAACTTTTTGAATAATTATATTAGTTTTAAATATCTAGTATGTGGTAAATAAATTTTTATAACAATAACCAATGCAACAGTCATTATGGGTAATTAACCAATAACATATTTCATCACATTATATAAAAGAGTTTATTATTGCAGATATAACAAAATGTGGATGCAATACGCTAGTCAACAATGGGTCGAAGTCACAGATATCGACACGGCCATTGAATGACTGGGTTGTGAATTAAGTTGTCTGAGTAGGGATCGACTACACGCCACTAATTATGATCTGGAGTATTGTTTTGATGAAGAAAAGGTTAAGATGCTTAAAGAAGAGTCTGAAATGTACAATAGTGGTTCGCAGTTGTGCACAAAATATTCCCAGGGTCTATTAAATCTGGATCAATTTTGTGAACAGATGATAGAGACCGGTTTCCGGAGGTATGTTAGAGGGTATTTGTTGGAGTACATACCTCATACAAGTAGTCAAAAATATCAATTAAATGAACCACTTGTTACTGAATCCGAAGATGATCAGGATACCGATGATGAAGAAATTTGCAGTTAAATCTTAGAGAAATAATTTTAATTTAACTTTATATTTTACATATAATTTGTATATTATAGCATTTGTAGTGTAATATAATTATTAACTTTATATATGAATTGTATACTTTAATTTTCTTAATGTACTTTATAACTAATATAATAAATGTTTTTGTAATAAGCATACATTGTTAACATATCATTCGTTTATTTATTGTTTACTACAAAGTGTTACTACAATAATAATAATAATAATAATAATAATAATATTTATTCAAATAATATCAACAATACAATAATGTACATATATACACATATATACATACATATACATAAAAAGTGAATAAATATATACTCGATAAGTGTTTAACACTTGTTTCAAGATAAACACAATAAAAGGAAAGGAATACAGTACTTACAATGAAATTTCAGTGCATATTCACAATAAACATACATATATTACATATAAACCAACAGTTGCATAAAAATACAGTACACTAAAAAAATACACAAACTACATCAACGAACTAGGTGCACTAGTCTGCTGGAACCTAATGAAAATATTCATACAACACTTCTCTAGGCGTTTCCAATATATATATTTTAAGTTTTTTCTTGAATGAAGAAAATGACGCATTATGAATTTTTAAATAATCAGGTATCGTATTATATAATTTTGGAGCCAAATACATATTGGATCTTTGACCTATATTTTTTTGCATCAAAGGAGGTAAGTATTTATTTATTTTCCTTGTTTCATAGTGATGTGTGATTAATTCGCATTTGTCCTCTACTAAATGATATCTAGAGATACAATTATAATAGTATAGTTGCCTTATATCGAGCATTTTGGCTTCACTAAATAATTCGCTAGTAGAGTAAGTTTGTTCCTTCTTAAATATTATCTTTAGAAATCTTTTTTGCAGTATTTGAAGAGGTTCAATATGACTCTTAACAGCAGAGCCCCAGGCTAATATAGCATAATTTATATGGCTTTCCACTAAGGAGTAATAGATGGTCTTCAAATACTGCATGGATAACAAACTACCGAGATACTTAAAGGTATGTATTATTGACTGAAGTTTTTTTATAATATAATTTATATGATTATCCCAACGTAAATGACAATCTAATAATACACCTAAATATTTGACTTTTGTTTCAGGAAGAATCGTAAAAATGTTTCTGTTGATTTCTATATTCAAGCAATCAAAGGATGGAATTGTTGATTTATTACATGTAAAAGGTAAGTAACTAGTTTTTTCCAGATTAATTGTTAACAGTTTATAGTTAAGCCAGTCATTAATATATGACAGATCTCTTTGTGCAACTTCCTTCAATTGATCCCATGTTTCAGCCCAATGAAAAACGGCTGTATCATCCGCAAATCCTATAATAAAGCCTTTAACTGGCAAAGTGAATAGATCATTTATATATATTAAGAATAATATTGGCCCCAATACAGTACCTTGCGGTACGCCATATTCAACGGTTAATTTCTCACTGCAAACATCACCCACTCTCACGCATTGTTTCCTATTTTTTAAATAACTTTCCATTAGTTTAAGGCACTCTCCTCTGACTCCTATATTTTCTAATGACTGCAAAAGTAGAGAATGGCTGACAGTATCAAAGGCTTTGGTTAAATCAATGAACGTGCATAAGCAAGGCAAACCCTTATCAAGTGCTAGGGAAACTTTGTTTATAAGTGTAATGATTGCATCTTGCGTCGATGTGTTTTCCTTAAAGCCATACTGTTCCTGAGCTAGGAGTTTATTCCTATTTAAAAATGATACTATTCTATTTTTAATAATTTTTTCAAAAATTTTGTTAAAGTTTGTTACTAGAGAAATCGGTCTATAATTATATGCTTGTGTATTATCACCCTTCTTGAAAATGGGAATAATGATAGAATCTTTAAATGCAGAAGGCCAAATACTAGATGTCATACAGTTATTTATAATGTAAACTAATGGTTCAATTAAAAACATGGCAACAGATTTTATTATTTCTGAACTTAAATTATCATTTCCAGGTGATTTGTTATCTTTTAATTGTAATATTACGTTTTTTAGTTCCTGGTTATCTGTAGGTAGCAGCACTAATGATGATAAAGAGTTTTTTTTTGTAAATGTAACATTTTGATTAAGTTTTGGTTTTATTTTTTGAGCTAACGATTTTCCTATATTTGCAAAGGTTAAATTAAATTCATCAGCCATATCTTTAGAATTTGTTATAATGGTATTACCAGATTGTAAACTACTTATAACTTTTGGTTTTGAATAAGATCCGGTAATATTTTGAACTACTTTCCACAATTTTTTTGAATCAAATTTATTTCTATTAATTAGATCATTGTAATAATTTCTTTTTGCCGCTTTTATTATATTTGTTAATTTGTTTTTATAATTTTTATATTCTAGTAATAACTCTAAATTATTAGGATTTTTTTGCAAAACACGAAACATTTTATTTTTTTTACTTACAGATTTTATTATTGAATTTGTAATCCAGTTATTTTTTTTATGAAATTTTCTTTTTAATAATTTAGTGACTGTGCAGCTTTCAAGTGATTCTGTTATGATTTTAATAAATACATTTGTTGCAGTTTCCACATTTTCTGAGGCATAGACAGCCTCCCAGGAAGTGTTTTCCAACAATGAATAAAATTTATTAGTATCTATATTTTGAGTATATTTAAGTTTTTGTTGCATTGTGATTTTAGGATTATTTAGTATTATCTGTAATATGGTTGTACAGTGATCTGTGATATTACTTTGTAAAACTATGGGGAGAATATATTCTAATAAACTATTATTTTTTGACTTAATAAAAATATGATCAAT